AGTGGAATTGGTAGTGATTATTTTTCCCACTCAGTTTTCTGTTTGGTATTCCCAAGGGATAAATTTGTTTAAAATATATTTTTATTTAGTCTTTTTTATTAATCATATATAAATCACACTTTAAAATTGCAATGACAAAGGTCAAATGTCCACAGATTCACAGCATGAAACAAAAATTCAGCAAGAATAGGTTTTTGTAATTGACAATTACAAAAGCATATACACAAACCAAAGCATGAAAAATATAATATGTAATGCATGTATTATTAGAATCATGGCTCACAGTTAATAGTTTCCAATTAAGAAAAAATTTCACCGGTATGATACCACTCTGTTTTAGGTGCCTTAAGAGTGCAAGAAAATTCAAAATGGCAAGAACACACAGATCAAAACCTTACATAGCACTACATTTGTAACACTATTCAGAAAAAAAAGGCATGTTTACAAAATCCTATGTAAATCTGCTGTGACAACAACATGTTATAACTCATCTGTAAAGAGATTATAGGGTTAGGTTAACAAGACCATAAAATATGGCCATCCGTGACCTAAGCCCATTTTATAAAAATCTAGACCTTATACCTATAACTAGATATTTATTTTAAACAAAGACTTATTTACTTAATTTTATTTATTATTATTTTAAAATTTGCTATAGGGCATATGTGCTCACCAGAGAGAGACAGAAAGAGAGAGAAAGAGAGAGAGAACATAAGAAAGTAAGCCACCAGATTCAGGACTCAAACCATGGTCAAACATGTGGGGAGTCCAGTGCCCTAACCACCATACCATCTGCTGACCCCCTAGCTAATCTTTAAACATGAAAAATGAACAACAGGTAGAAAGATGATCACTATGTTAAAAACATTATTATATTTAATAAAAGTTGCAAACATGTAAAGCATTCACAAATGGAGGGGAAACCAATAACGAACAGAAGAGCTCAACTTCCTGGCAAAGGTACAGTGCAAGGTTCTAAAGATGTTATGGGTTATATCAACACCAAGACCTGTATTTAAATCCTAGTGCCACTTTTCTGTAGCTCCATGACTTCAGAAAGCTATATAACTAGTATTAGGCTCATTTCTTATGTTAATAAAAAGAAATAATCAGAGCACGGAGAAGATTAGAAGTCCAGGGACTTACATGGTGCCTGAAAATTAGAACCAGAATAAAATGATTTTTCTTCCATATATTAAAATTGCAAAGAACATGTAGAAAAAATGAAAAACATTTATTCATTATGGAAGTAAGTGAATATTATTGTATAGATATGATTATAATTTAGTAATGCATTATAACGAATAGTTAAAATTAACTTTAAATAAGTCACAAGTGTAAATGTATAAAAATTTAAAAAATAATGGTATAATGATAAAATAATAGGAAACTCTGAAATAAATTTTAATACTGTTATTTTTCTCTTTATAAATATAAAAAGTACAGGAGATACGTAGGTTTACCCAAACCTTTCAAAAGTCTTATTATGAAAAACAAACATTAGCTCTAATCAGTCAAACACAGAAACAGAGACAGGAACCCTAAACTTCACTTTTCAGGGCACGCAGCCTAACGGAAGATCATAGGTATCCTGCTCTAATTCTTCTTTGGAACAAGGGATTTGAGCACAGATCTAGATATTATCTCAGATCCAAAAGTTTCTTAGTAGGCTCTCAAACTATAATCCTACTTCACACAGTCACCCACAGTGAAGTTTTAATGAGACAAAAGTACAGTAGATGACGACAGCCGGGAAGTCACACATTCTTCAAGAATTGGCAGTCAGGGATTTCATGTCGAGCAAACAAGAGGCAGTTAAATAATAGATCTTGCCCCTAATGATTAAACGCCCCCAGACAGCATCCGTATTTTGTAAGTAAGGATTTTTTTCTGTGAATATGCTAGCCCCCACTACAGTAGAGGAAACAGTACAAGAGTAATATCAGAATTTGTTAAATTAAAACATTTATTTGGCTTTTTATCCAACTACAGTAGGAGAGAGAACTGCTACATTACCCAACATTAGGGATAAAACTAAACATTATTATTATTATTTTTTTTTTTGGAGAGATTTTCACTGTAGGGCGCGTGCGCTCGCCAGACAGACAGAGAGAGACATAGAGACAGAAAGCGAGAAATCACCTCCCAGGGGGGATGGTCACGCTGCAATCCCTTCTCCTCCATTCTCCTCTCGGGATCTTGGGCACGCATGCACATGCGCCCGGCGTGAGTTTTAAGCCACCGGGTCCGGGACGTGAACCACAGTCGACTACGTGGGAGTCCAGCGACATAGCCATTACGCTAACTGCTGGTTCCCCCTAAACATTATTTTTTGAAGAATATTTTAAAGTGTAAGATTATTGGGGGATAAACCTGGAGTATGATAATGTGTATATTTAAAGAACAATTATAAACAGCATAGTAAAGTCTATAACCTAAAAAGATGAGTGACTTACAGTTTTTAAGGTCTCAGTATCCAGTTGTAGTATTGCCAACAGCATTGTTTGTATTAAGCTATTTATTTATACTGTCAGAACTTACAACCATTTGTGTTTACATGCATGTTTATACACACACACACACACATATATATATATATTCATCACTCTCACTACAAAATGTTTTGCAACAACTTTTTTTTTACTCTATAAAAGTGATTTATCCTGAAAAAAAGTGATTTATTCTGATGTTCCATAGTAAGGTAGCAAGTGTCTACTTATCTGGTCATTAAGTGCTAGCTGTGAGAGAGAATAATGACACTTTAATTTCTTTAATACTATGGGCAACAAGTTAGAGTAGTGGCTTAGTAGTGGCTTCGTAGTGCCTTCTTAACATTTTTTCATAATACTTACAAGGTAATTCAATTATAAAAGTTACTGTTAAGAAAGACAGGTATTTTCCTGACTAGAGTCAAAAGATAAATTATCTTTTACATGATCCATAGTAAAATATTTATATTTTGATTTTCATTACTTAAAAAGAGAAAATAAAAAACACCTTTTACAGAACTTTTTTTATAATGACGTCTATCATAAACTAGAAAAGATTCTTTTGTGATGGAAGAAATTCCATCACAATTAAAAATTCTCATGTAAAATGTTATTAACCTGCAGATCAAAATTAGACGAAGATCCAGAATAGCCAACACAGAAGTGAAAGAGGACAAAGTCAAAGGACTGACACTACCTTCAAGATTTACCATAAAGCAGTAGTAAATAAGGCACTGTGGTTCTGGCAAAAGAATACCAAATAAACCAATGAAACAGAACAGAGCTCCCCTGATAGACCCACATAAATCACTCAACTGATTTTTGACAAAGAAGCAATGACTGAAGAGAGACTTTTGACAAATGGTGCTGGAACAACTGGATATCCCCATGAGAGGAAAAAAAAAAAATCTAAATTTTATACCTCTCACAAAAATGAATTAAAGATGGATCACTGACTCAAATGTAAAACTTGAGACTATAAAACTTTTAGAGGATAACATAGGAAAATTCTAGGTGACCTTGGACATGGCAATGAGCTTTATATATAACACCAAAGTGACCTATGAATAAAATAATTGCTAAGCTAGACTTCATTAAATTTAAAAAGTTCTGTTCTGTGAAACATGTTCTTAAGAGAATGAGAAGTCACAGCTGGGAGAAAATATTTATAAAAGATAGATAAAAAGCTGTTAAACAAAATAAAGGAAGAACTCTTAAGCACAACAATTAGAAAATGAATAACTGACTTAAAAATGGTAAAATACTGGGTCATCAGGACCCAGTATTTCTATATAGTTTTGCATAGAAAAACATAGAAAAATACCTCATGACTTCCTGGATAACCTAATATATGGAAAGAGACCTTACCAAAGAAGAGACATAGGACAAACCAGCAAATTAAAAAAATGCTCCACATTACATGTCATTAGGAAAATGCACATTAAGTAAACAATGAGATACCACCACAAACCTATGAGAATGGCCAAAATGGTGGTGAGGATGTGGACAAATGGGAACTCTAAAACACTTGCTGGTGAAAATGAAAAACAGCATAGTTATTTAATACTCTGAAAGACAGTTTGGTGGTTTTTTACAACCTAAACATACTTTTACTAATATAATCAAATAATCACACTTCTTGGTATTTACTCAAATGAGCTGAAAACTTATGGCCTAACAAAAACAAAGATGTTTTTAGTAGCTTCATTTATAGTTGTCAAGCTTGGATGCAACTAACATGTCCTTTATTAGGTACATGGATAAACTATGGTACATCCAGACAATGGAATATTTTCCAGTACTAAAAGAAAAATTGACTTTGGGACCAGCAGCTGGCGTAATGGCTATGTCACTGGACTCTCATATAGTCGGCCACGGTTCGAGTCCTGAATCCTGTAGCTTAAACTCACGCTGGGTGCTTGTGCGTGTGTGCCAAAGATCCCAAGAGGAGAATGGAGGAGAAGGGACTGTGGTGTGACCATCCTCCCTGGGGTGTGATTTCTCGCTTTCTGTCTCTCTTTCTGGCGAGTGTATTAAGCCCTATAGCAAAAACCTCTCAAAGAAAAAGACCTATCAACGTGTAAAATGACATAGAGTAACTTACTTATTATTTACCAGAAGAAGCTAACCTCAAAAGGCTACATACTATGTGATTCAAACTATATGATATTCTAGAAAAAAGCAAAACTATGGGGACATGAAAAAGATTAGTGGTTGTCAAGGGGAATAAGTTAAGCACAGAGATATTTTAGGACAAAGATACTCTTCTGTATTACACTGTAACGGCAGACACACGCCATCATATGTTTGTCAAAACCCATGGAAAGAACAATACCAAGAGTTATTCCTAATGTAAACTACGGCCTTTGGGTAATATTTACATTAATGTAGGTTCACCCATAGTAAGGGTGGCGCAGAATGTTGATAACGGGAATCTGTGCTTATGCAATGACAAGGGGTATATAAACACCCAACTTTCCACCCATTTTTGCTATAAAGATGAAACTGCTCATGCTTGCTTCTGCGGCATATATACTAAAATTGGAACAATACAGAGACAATTAACATGGCCCCTGCACAAGGATGACACACAAATTTGTTTTTTTTTTTCTTTCTTTTTTTTTTGGAGAGGTTTTTGCTATAGGGCGCGTGCGCTCACCAGACAGAGAGAGACAGAGAGACAGAAAGCGAGAAATCACCCCCTGGGGGGATGTCCACGCCACAATCCCTTCTCCTTCATTCTCCTCTCGGGATCTTGGGCATGCACACACATGCGCCCGCTGTGAGTTTTAAGCCACCGGGTCCGGGACGTGAACCGTGGTCAACTACATGGGAGTTCAGCAACATAGCCATTATGCTAACTGCTGGTCCCAACACACAAATTTGTAAAGCACTCAATTTTTAAAAAAATAAAACTGATCTATAAAATGAATATATTTTTAAAAAGGATAAATGGATAAAATACTTAAATATATACTGAATCATTCTGATATAGCATCCACAAATAAGTGTTTATAGACTACACAGGTACATTCCTTAGCTAACAATATAGTTTCTATCTTCTTTTAAAATTTTTATTATTGTTATTATTTCTTTATAATTTGTCATAGGGTCGTGCACTCCTGAGAGAGAGAGAGAGAGAGAGAGAGAGAGAGAGAGAGAGAGAGAGAAAGTGAGAAAGCAAGCCACTAGATCTGGGACTTGAACCATGTTTGGCCATGTGGGAGTCTAGTGCCTTAACCATCATGTGCCTGCTGGCCCAGTTTCTATCTTCTATAATATATATGTTGCAAATAAATGTATATGGTGATACCATCTAGCTAATTACATTGAATTTATAGTACTCTTTTTGCAAGAAGGGCTGCCATGCAGGACATTTCTTTCTTTTAAGACCTTCTATGAAATACTTTCAAAAGTTTCTCTAGAGTCCATTTTGGGATCGTCAGACATTCACTACAAATAAATTTCATGATACAATCTAGAACAGAATGAGCAAACAAGAACTTACAAGTAAATGAGCTGGCTTTAAGTTTTGTAAGTGAAATTTTATTGGCATGCAGCTATGTCCATTTATTTATATTTTGTCCATGCTTGCTTTTACGCTACAGCAGCTGAGTTGAGTAGCTGCCACAGAGAACAAAAGGCCTACAAAGCCTTAAATATTTACTGCCCTAACCTTTATAGAAAAATTTTTCAGGCTTCTGACACAGAATGGTAATTTTTTTTTGCTTTAAAGAAAGAATATTAATTTTTTGAATACTTTATTTGTAAAATGACAGATAATGTAACTATAAAACAGATTTCAACTAAGGATCAAAGAAGGACGTTAATATAAAACAAATGCAAAAAAAAGTGATATGACACAATGGTTAGCAAGACTCTGTGCTCACATATACTGGATTTGAAAGCACACAAGTAGAATGACCTAAACATGTTATTTTATTTTGCATAGAACCTTATTTTCTTTATCTACCAAGTGAGAAAAACAATACCTGGCTTATAGGCTGCTGAGAGAATTCAACGTGATAACAAATTTAAGATAATTATATCAGTTTGAAGTATATCCTAATAATTAGGAAAGGTTAACTATTATTATTATTATTACTATTACCACTATTAGTATATATTATAAATAAGCCTAATTTCTTTTCTTTTAAAGTTATTCTTAAAACCAAGTACATTCTCTTGAAATTAGTTAAAAATATGATTTTAAACTGCTTCTTAAAAAGGGACTGGAGACCAGCAGCTGGCGTAATGTCTATGTCACTGGACTCCCATGTAGTCAACCGCTGTTCCAGTCCCGGACCCAGTGGCTTAAACTCACGCCAGGCGCATGTGCATGTGTGCCCAAGATCCCGAGAAGAGAATGGAGGAGAAGGGACTGCGGCGTGGCCATCCCCCCTGGGGATCTTTCTGTCTTTCTGGTGAGCACATGCGCCCTAGCAAAAACCTCTCAAAAAAAAGGGACAAAATGCCTCAAAGATGCTCAACAAGTAGTGTTCCAGGCATTCGAGTTCAATTCACCTTTGATATATTTTACATATTGGGACTGCAAACTAAACTCAGTCTGGGAAAAAGGACTCCATTATCATTTTAAATTATTTTAAAAACAAAGGGGACCCAGACATAGTGAGATGTACTGCTAAGATTCAATGCTCCAAGGGATGGAAAAAAGAAGGGCTAGATTCAATTTCTGTGGTTGGATGCAGTGCTGAATGCCTCTAATCCCAGTGACAGAAGAGGTGAAGATCATATACTCAAGGCTGGACTGAGCAACACTGTGAGATCTTGTCTTAAAACAACCACAAAGGCACGGTGGCATATTCCTGTAGTTCCAGTAGGGACCCTAAGGCAAGGAAATTGTGTCATGGAGAAATGCTGTATTTATAAGAAAAATACATGGGGCCAGCAGGTGGTGCCATGGTGGTTAAGACGATAGACTCCTGCATGGCTGACCATGGTTTGAGTCTCGGTCCTGGCAGCTTGAAAATCATGCCAAGAGTGTGTGTGTGTATGTGCCCAAAATCTCAGGAGGAGAACGAAGGAGAAGGGATTATATGACAGCCATCCCTTCAGGGGGTGATTTCTCACTTTCTCTTTCACTGTCTTTTTGTCTCTGTCTAGTGAGCACCTGTATTCTATGGCAAAAGCCTTCAAAAGAAAAACAAAACAAAACAAACAAAAAACTCAAAAAAACCAAAACCTGAAGTATTGAAAAATACTTCATATGTCATAAAAGATTAATATTATAGAAAAAAAATCCCATAATAAAATAAAGTTATCCCAAGAACATAAACAATTGGATGACTGGTTTATTTCTTATTTCTTTGTTTATTTTGGAGAGAGTTATGCTATAGGGCACAGGCACTCACCAAAGAAACAGAGAGTGAGAAATCACCGCCCAGGGGGATGGCCATGACACAATCTCTTCTCCTCCATTCTCCTTGGGATCTTGGGTACGCATGAACACTGTTCTGTGGTGAGTTTTAAGTTGCCGGGTCCAGGACTTGAACCATGATCAACTACCTGGGAGTCCAGCAATGTAACCATTTTGCCATCTGCTGGTCTTGATAATGAATTTTTATATAAACAATAATTATACTTTTTTCTTTAACAATCTTGACTATTTGAATATGGAGAGTTTAAAAATGAGACATCTTAATTTCTAAATACCACAAAACACAAAACTTTATTATATGTGTTACATTTAAACTGATCCTACTGCATGAAAGTAGTAAAAATAATATAAAGTTTAACATTTTTACATTATGTTAAAATATACAAATTAAGATTTTGATGTGTGAGAAAAGGGTGTGTTTTTAAAAAGAAACAGAAATGTAAAAAATAAAAACCCTTTCTTTTAAATCATCACTAAAAATGGCAAACAAAATAGCATGACCAGTTAATTTTGGAATAATATTTTCAATAAATATTTTTTATGATTTTCATGGTTATCCATTGGGCAAAATCAGGCATTAAGAAATAAAATCTCTGAATCATTATCTCAGAATTCAAGAAAAATTTTCTTAACTGGAGAGTCTAAAAATTAATAACTTTTATCATTAAGCACTCTTAAAATCAGATTTAAGTCAATTAAGTTACCTGGTGTCCAGCCTTTACTTGCTTCAAAACACTTTCATAACATACTTCATCCATGTTATTCAATTGCTGCATCTTAAAATTTTCAAAATATGAAAAATATCAAATAAAGCAATTATAAACTTTATAAATAAAACTTGACTAAGTATAATACATTTTAAAATTTTCAGATTAACTAGAGCACAAAAGCAACAGACACAATCTAAATATCTGACATATAACAAGCCATTAAGTAAAAACAAAAAGAATACAATGAAAAAACAAAACAGCTTAGACGATAGTTTGGGAGTACTTTTTTTTAAAATTTATTTTAATTAATTAATTAATTAATTGTTTTTTGAAGAGGTTTTTGTTACAGGGCGTGTGCGCTCACAAGAAAGACAGAGACAGAGAGACAGACAGCAAGAAATCACTTCCCCACCAAGGAAGGATGGCCACGCCACAATCCCTTCTTCATTCTCTTCTCAGGATCTTGGGCACACACGCACACGCACCTGGCACGAGTGTAAGCCACTGGGTTCCAGGATTTGAACCACGATCGACTACATGTGAGTCCAGTGACATAGACATTACGCCAACTGCTGATCCCAAGAGTACTAACTACTTAACGGCACTAAGCTTTTAAAAGACATTGTCTTGGGACCAACAGATGACGTAATGGACTCCCACATGATAGACCATGGTTCAAGTTTTGTCCAAAGCCATTATGTAACACTCACACTGCTTCCCCATATTTTTTTTTTTCATAGTAACTGAATCATGAGTTTCTGAATGAAACTCAGAAACCTACAAGGATTTCTTTTTTTTAAAGAATAACAAATTAATAACTGTTATAAGCATATTAGACACTACTCTGGGGAAATGCTTAATGGTTAACAACTGCATATTTCTACTAACTGTAAAACTAATATATTTTAATAAGCCAAAAGCTTATTAAACATAACTTATTTATATATCTATAACAAACATATAGTTTACTATTTACATTATATACGTAAATATTTTTCAATTTTGTCAAATTTCTGAACCTTCAAAATAATTATAATAGTTTATTATCTAATATCATTCCTTTCATGATTATAATAGTAAAATACTGCTGTAAAAAATACATTGAATTTAATTAGCTTTAAGTGATTTACCCATTTGTATAATAAAGTAGAAAGGAAATCAGGTTTAAGTTAGCTGATGAGCATGTGAAACAATTTTCTTCTCTTTGTATCTCTGCTATCATTTAAATTATAAAGAGGAAAACAATCTAAATCTATACAGAGATAGTTTTTTATCTATCCTAATGATACATTAAAATGAATCAAATAATCAAATGTCTGTAAGACATGACTGAAGAAAAAAAACTAAGCAGAAAGTAATACTGAAATACACCTGAATTTTTTTTTTTTTTTTTTTGGAGAGGTTTTTCGCTATAGGGTGCATGTGCTCGCCAGACAGACAGAAAGAGACATAGAGACAGAAAGCGAGAAATCACCCCCCCCCAGGGGGATGGCCACGCCGCAATCCCTTC